GGTTACGTTTACCAAAGAGTGGATGGCTGAACCATTAAAAAAAAAGGGTATAAAAACGGTGCCGCCATGCGAGTGTCTCACTGCGGCAAGCCCTGACAGGGGAAAATTGCTTCTTCTTGGAAAATGTTGGGAATAACATTTGCATACCTGTGAAGCAGCAGACAGCCACTTTCGGGGTAGCTTGTCACCCCGTTGCAGTGGCTTGAAGTAACAAAACATTCGCGGTCCCTTTTGAACACCGGCTTGGGTTCGCCATTTCGAGCGATTTGGGTTTCTTTTAACCCCGAGACTGAAGGGTGTGCTGCGGCTTCGTTTGTATTTTGAAAGTTAGCCATCCCATGTGTGGGGCTCCCGAAGCATCGACTCCTGTGGCGCGTCAGCAGGCAGCGCACGAACACACTCGTCACGCAGGTCACTCCAGCGTACACCCAGGAGCGCAAGTGCAGGTGAGATGAACAAATCGGTTTCTGCGTGCTCCTGGTACCGAACCCCGATTTTGGTGTACCGTCACGGCTCTTGGTTCACTTGCGTCCAGTCTACATTTGCAGGGATTGCTGCGCTCGAACAAACCGCCTCCCTTTTGCTCTCCGGTTTCACCGCAATATGTGTGACTGTTAATGACACTGACCATGACGTTAAAAAAAAAACAAAAGTACTAACAAATAAACCTGTGCGCGTCTACCCCATTTCCTCAACGAAGTGTTCAGTGGTGACTATTGAATGACTTGGTGCTAAAGCTAGCCTCGGCTGTAAGCTAAAGCGAGCTTGGGAGGAAGCAAACCAACCTTGGCGATGCCTCAAATCCAGTCCGGACGCAACCTTTCATCGTTTCTCCATGGACTGAACCAGACGTTGGCGCAGCCAGCTCCCCTTCGTCGCCCTGCTGTGTTGTCGTCCCAGTCTCGTACCTGTGTCAGCAATAGTCACTTCCTGGTTCCCTTTGATGACGTCACCGCGCTCAACTAGATTCAACCTCGTCGAAAGCCCGCAATTGTTTGGTTTATGTATTTCTTGTCAGAAAGCATGATACGAAATGACTGCGCTGCCCGAGTAATGTCAGTAATAATGTGGCAGTGGCTGTTGGAAAATGTATATTATTATTATTATTATTATGATTATTATTATTATTATTATTATTATTAGTCCACACACGCAGATGGTGCAATCTGACTCTGATGTACCTTGACCGTGTAATTCCCCTTTTAATTTCTTTGGAGGTTGTTCTGGGCTCTTTTGTTGCCATTCGTTTATCCGTCTCTTCAATTTGTCATTTATTTTCCTCCCGCAGCCACGTCTTTGGAGGTTGGCCACAGTGCTGAGGACCTGACATTTCTGAAGACCGTGCGCATCAGTAGTCACGGGAATATCAAACCATTTCAAGATTAACCTTGACTTTTGACGTGTTTGCCACTATTGTTTTCTTTCTGTCCTGTGGTACTACTTGTAGCCTCTTAACGAGGACGACTGACAAAGTTCACGTGATGCTAATTCGAGGATACACTTGGGTCGATCGTGTCCCTATGGTCTTTTCTAGGCGGATCGTCCTTTTTTTTCCAGGGCTGTTTCATATTTGTGTTTTTAAAATAAATTTGTTGAAGGAAAGCACAATTCAAAAGCCACGTCAGATGTTCATTGGCCAGTTTTCATTCAAGTTTTTACTTTTGTCAGATTCAAGTCATTTCTGTGGGTTTTTCTTTCAAAAACAGAGGGGTGCCAACAATTATGTGTACAGTGGAACCTCTACTAACAATTGTGTGTACAGTGGAACCTCTACTTACGAACATCACTTCATACGAAATTTTCTAGTTACGAAACGCCTTAACGGGAAAATATTGCCTCTTGTTACAAAAGAAATTTCCAGATACATACAGCTCTGAACTAATTTCAGCGAAGACAGCTCAACGCGATCTGGAAAAGTTTCCTGGTAGGAACACGCTGGTACAACATGGAACATAAAGTACAACAAATGGCTACTTTCAAAAGCCACTCATGATTCGCAGCAAAGGATTTATTTGGCTCCATGTAAGAGTGAATATTTGCTAGTGAATCCGCAGCCCAAAGACTGGCATAGTACTCCTTTCCAGCAGGTTTCCACCTGATACAAAAGCGCTAGAAGTCATGTCACGCGAGACTATTTCACTCGACGTCCTCCCTCCAGGCTGGCGTAAAAGGCGGCGTCCCTGCGATGCTCATGAAGCGGCATGTTCCGGCGGAGGCTGCGTATTTGAGCCAGATCGACCTCCACCAGCGCCACGCCCGCTCGCTCCCCCCCGCAGTCGGCCGCCACCGTCCCCCAGGGGTCCACGGCCAGGCTGTGGCCGTAAGAGGAGCGCCTGTCGTGATGCCGGCCGACCTGTGCCGCCGCCAGGACGTAACACTGGTTCTCGATGGCCCGCGCCCGCAGCAGCACCTGACGAATGAAACAGGATTGACCCTCGCAAACCATTCGTTTACAATGCACACACTTCATATGTTCTGGGTCGATTGAACCCCGGGCCCAGACATCGAACCATCTCAGGTACTGCACCTTTCATATGAAACAAGGGCAAAACAGACGAAAAATCCCCCAGTCAAATTATGACAACTGTGTTAACATCGCTTAAGAACACCTCCAACGCCAAGAAGACTGTACTTTTCAATCGGAGAAGAAGAGACGTCGAGCCTGGCAAAAAAAAGCCAGTGCCAAAAGAGGTGAAGAAAATGTTGTCTTTCGGGTAAAATATGAAACGGATTATATGGTGACCGAGTTTAAACACAAAGCTGAGTGGCCAGGACAGCAGCCATCTCAAAAATAAACAAACAGCAATTTGCTTCAACCCAAGAACTGGTGACAGTTCGTTTAAAGTGCACGAGGACTTAGTTGAACACGTTCAATGCGAAACAGAGCCGACAACACAGAAGGTGGCTTGCAGACAAAATGACATTGAGGGTCATTTTATTGCCATCAAATGTCAAAAAAAGGTTCAAATTGAGCCAAGAGTATGTAGGGGTGACGACCAGCGCAGGTCCTACCTCCCAGTGAGCGGCTCCTGTGGTCACGGTGAAGGCCGATGGGAACGTCAGGATCTCAGCGCCGCTCTTCTGCAACGCGAGTGAAAATTCTGGGAATCTCAAGTCGTAGCAGACGCCCAATCCGAGCTGACGAGAAAAGGCGACGACGTTCATGAGAAGGCCAAGTCAACGGGGGCTTGAGTGGCAGTGCGGAGAAGACACCTTGCCGATGGGGGTTTGGACGGGCGCGACCAGCGAGGGACCCGGGACGGTGAAGGTGCTTTCGTTGAGCGAGACGCCCTTCTCGGGAAGCTCGACGTCAAACAGGTGGCATTTCCTGTAGGTAGACACAATCTCGCCTGCATGGATACCAAAAGTGTGGCAACGTGACCTCAGCGGGTGCGAAGGAGTGCACGTGCAATTTAGGAAAACTTTACCGTGGTTGTTAATGACAACGTGGCAGTTGTAAATTCGCTGCTCGGCCTCCCAGTCGGATCCCCGTTCGTGGAACCCCCCCAGAGACAGCCAGATGTCCAATTTCCTGTGACAAGGGCGGGCCGTGACATAAAGGCGATTTTGACTTTCCCTTCGCACGAGCCGGTGATTCTACAATTGTTTGGTGAGGCCCTTTTGGCGCACATCCTTCAGGAGGTGACTTGAGCTAGCTAGGTCGTCATATCGCGCTGACCTTGTTTAGGCTGGCTCTCTCTCTTGGCGAGCGATCTGCACACTTATGAGTTGAAACCAGTTAAGAGCGTGGGGTCAAAACACACACACACACAGGAAATGCAACACAGCGCTCAGGCCGTGCTGCAATCCCATGTTGGCGTGGCAAAGGCAGTACAAGACCAGGGATGGTTTTGGAGAGGGCAGACCCTGTTCCGCATCTGGCAGAAAAAGGTTCCACAGCGGTGTGACAACCTTTCTGGCATTCCTGAAAGAATTTGATTGTGGATGTACAGTCTTCGGATAGTTGTTGTTAGCGTAGGGAACATTAGACATAACGGACGGGCAAAAGTTCCTCAGATCTTTCAATTTGGTGCCCGGACCATGATTAGTGACCAGCTGTGAGCACATTTACATATTGTGGCGGAAATGTGCGTGACAACAGCCGATCGCAGTCAATCTTTTCCTCCCCTTCTTTGCTTTGCAAGTTCAAGAAGTAAAAAGATAGTAAGGGTGAGAAGTATATAATCACCCGACTTCGAGCTAAACACAGCTGAGGGCAGCAAAATAGATTTCAGGCATCCCTTGGCACTATCGCCCGAAGATGAGCCTATTTTTGACAAGAGACGTCAATCACTGACCCTCTTCTAAAACGGCCCGTTCGGGACGCCAAGCTCAAAAGCCGGCATCTGTGACGGTCTGGGGCTGTGTTCGTGCCACTGGCGTCTGTGAAGGCCTCATTCATGCTGAAAGGTACAGCCAGGTTTTGGGGAGCCATATGCTGCCATCCAAGCAACGTCTTTTTCATGGACGCCCCTGCTTCTTTCAGCAAGACAACGTCAAAGCACATTCCAACAGCGCCGTCAAAAAGCGCGGGAAATAGATTGGCGTGCCTGCAGTCCAGACCCGTCTCCTGTTGACAATGAGAGGCACACTATGTTGCGGAACATGTGACAGCAGAGACTCTTGGACAGTTGAAGCTGGACATCGAGCAAGAATGGGAAAGAATTGCACCCACAAAGCTTCAAAATTTAGTGTCCTCAGTTCCCCAACCATTGTTGATGTTGTTCAAAGAAAAGATGGTGTCACACAGTGGTAAACCTGACCACGTCCCAGCTTTTCTGGAACATGCTGCAGTCATAAAGTTATGGATTGTTTGCTGAAAACAATCAAGTTTGCCCCAACTTCCTTGGAACTGGGTTAGTACCTGGCCATCTGAGTGTACCGCATCATTGTATGTCCCGCCAAGGTCTCCGAAAGCGCCAGGGTCTCTTCCCGACTGGAGCCGATATAGTCGAAAGCCTCGGGCAGGAAGGCCATGCAGGCGCCTCGCTGCTTTGCCTCCTCCAGCAACCCTTGGGCAGCACACAAGTTGGCTTGCTTGTCTGCGGTGACATTCAACTGACACAAGGCGGCGCACGGCCGACAAGAGCTGGACATCCTGCACAGAGAAAAGGTCCCAACATCGCCGAGCATGCCTCAGTCAAGGTATAGGCAAATACTTTCTCAAAGAAAAAAAAATCTTGACATGAGCTGCTGGGTTCTTCTGTTTCTGACAAAATTCCATCTGTCGTCTTGATATTGACACAGTCGTGAAGTCATCATAACAGCAAATACTCCGAACAAAAGCACTTTTGAAATGTCAATCGCTTTAAAAACAGGCTGAGCTGAACATGTCTCAATTGGAACATGTAAGAAGGAGCACATTTAACCCCTCAACTGAGTTCCTTTTACAACGCTGTTGTTTTATTTGCAAATATTTCAACGGGCTCGCCCAACCTGTGGCGTATTCCAGCAAGCAGATTGTGTGAAAACTCAGAGGAAAGTGACAATGAAATGAGGCAAAGTCTGAAAAAAAAAAACACTTGACAACTCGTGTTGTACTTGTTTTAGTGCCTCGCTTGTTGTTAAAGTTGTGCGTCTACTTTCGGTTATTATTGTTCGTTTCGGCTCCGGCAGTTTTTCAAGTGATCTGTAAGTAAAATGACATTGAGTCAACATTTTGAAGATTAGATGTGTAGGATCGAACACAATACCTGTAGTATAGCTTGCTTGTCCAAACGGAGAGCAAGGCACCAATCTCGACCGATGAGCTCAACGCGAACAACATGGGCTCAGGTAGTCACCTGTCACCTGTCACGCCATGTGAGAGCTTAATTGGTAACACGAGGAAGCATTTCTAGCCTCGCTACTCGAAAAACAGACACATTAACGTGTTGGTTTAGGTGTTGGCTCACTGACTTGATAGTATTTTCATACAGGCAATCTCTCGGGCAGCACTTGAAGTCCCAACGGGGTCTTTCCCTGTCAGCAAGCGAGATCCAAAATGGCAACGAACAGTAGCAACACGGCGTCCAAACCTGCCAACAGTACCGGAGGGAAACAGTCCGGGCCCTCCGCCGAACAGGTACTAACAGCGGTACCGTGGCCGGCCGTATTTCTCGTGTTTGGTGGCGGCCACTTTGCGTGGCTCCATGACAGGCTAACGCTAACGAGAGCTTGTCATCGCCACCACCTGTCCGGCGACTCTGTGCTTGTGTCGGCGTGAAATGTAGCGATCGACGAAGGCGGCTTCTTAACTAAATAATCTGACAATGGAGGATCCTTTAGTTGGAAAACGGAGGGATTTTCTGCTTTGGGGAACTGTCTTTCGTGCACACCGGCGTGGTAGCGACACTATTTGAAGTCAATGTACACTATCCGAGCCTACTAAGGTATTTGAAGTCCAACTGGAGATGGGCGTTATTTGCATCAAAATGCTCTGCTGCCAATCTGATCGTGCACTTTCTCAAGCGGTAGTCAGCAAACCACTAGGGGGCGAACCAATGGTTACGGCCTGGTTTGACTGCCTAAATAACAAGCTAGCGAGCCTTGCCGAGTCCGGTCGAGGGGAAAAAAATTACAGGGAAAAAAATGGAGGGAGATGAGGAGCCCCGAAAGGCTTTAGTATCTGTTGTTGCAAGCATAGTTATTCGGGTGGACTCCGATATCGGAGCCGCTTCTCTTCTAAAACAGGAAGCCATTCGTTTCATTGCAATACATCATGATTTCTATTGCGCTTTCACAACGGCTCTCAACAAAGCGCTTCCAAAACATTTGACATAAAAGGGTCATGTTGACAAACATCTATTCTTGGTCTGTCATGCGGGTTTGTTGTCTTTTTTTTTTTTTTGATTCATGCATTACTTTTTAGTCACTTGTAATGCCTAGTCGAGCGTGCTGTACAAGTCTGTGTTGAGGGTCGAGTGAATTCACTTGAGTGATGCTGTTTGACAGGTGGTGGCAACGTTTCAGAGGATGCGGCAGGAACAGCGCAGTATGGCCTCCAAAGCAGCGGAGTTGGAAATGGAATCAAATGAGCACAGGTGGGTCTCTTGCGCTCTTTTTCCACCTGTCACAGTGAAGCGCTGCCTTGCGCACGGGTTAGGGACCAAATTCCATCAAGAATTTCTGAGGAACTGATGGCAACCCCCCCAAAATCATGCCCTTAACAGAACGGGAAGAAGACACAAAACCTAAATCAGTGGAACCTCCTCAACGATAATGATACGACACTCCAAAGCATATCGGCCACCATCTCGTCAAATGATTCCACACTATGGCCCAGCTGTACGCTCTCCTAAAAATGTGCAAATGGTCTTTGATTTGTGTGTCTCCCCCAGCCTCGTCATTGACACCCTGAAAGACGTGGACCCATCCCGGAAATGCTTCCGTCTCGTCGGCGGCGTGTTGGTGGAGAGAACGGTGAAAGAAGTTCTGCCAGCGTTGCAAACCAACAAGGAGCAGGTAACGGACATGTCAATTCAAAAGAAGCCTTTTGTGGCCTCCCGTCGCCAAATCTCTCGCCATTGTCGGCGACAACCCGAAGGAAAACTGCACTGAAGCCGACTTCGTCTCCTTTTGTGTCCCCGCAGATCTCCAAAATAATTGAGTCCCTCAACACCATGATGCAGGAGAAGGGGCGCGAACTCACCGAGTACCGAGAACGCTACAACATTCGCCTGGTGGGCGAGGGCGAGGCAGACGCGCAAAGCCAGTCGACGGCGTCGTCCAAAGATAGTGAAGGAGGCGGCTCGAAAAGCGGAGCTGGTGTTTTGGTTTCGTAGGTTTTGGTGGGTTTGTTTGTTTTTTTGCCGGTATAGCTCTATGGGTCTCTCACATATTGGAAAAAAAGTTGACAAAAATCGAGGTTTCAAAATGGAATTTGCCTCCAGATTTTGTCCTGACAATTTCAAGATGTGACGTGCCCTACCAAATCCATTTTCTGTTTTGGTAGGTCTCGAATGTTGGATACAAGTGTGTTCATGTCGCTAAAGTAACATGGCAGCACAGGCACGGTCCTCACAATGCCTCACCAAAATTGTTCTCACAAGCTGCAAGAATAAAGGCGCTTTTCCTTGTCAGTACCCGCATGTCATGTTCTGCGTGTGTAGGGTCACACAATAGTGATTCGTGCAAATGTGGTAAGTCGATGAAGTAGGCCTACTTTTCTCCTGGAACTTGATATCTTTTAGCCTTCACAAATGCACCAATGTCCTGAGTTGCAGCCTATTTCACATCCCTTTTCGGTCACAGGTGTCAAACTCAAGGCCACATCCGAACCGCCACATCAGCTTACGTGCCCCGCCAAAGCAAATTATGCGCATGGACTTCATGTTTCCTTGCTTCAATATTCCAAACTTGCAACTCGTCTTCACATTTTAAAGCGTTGGGATTTTACAAGCATTTTTTTGTTACCAAGCCCCTTTTAAAACAAATGTGATAATATTGGAGCCGTTTTTACAGGCCTCTGATTTCAAAACGAGTTATCGATTGGCTGTGTGTATATATTATGTGGCCATCAGACATTTCTTTGGGTTTGCCGTCATAACGGCCCTCACACGGGCTCGGAGGTGGCCTGCAACAAAAAAGGAGTTGGACACCCCTGGCTGAAGCGCCCAGCAGGTGTAAGTGCAACCTCCAGTGGACAAAATATGCATCTGCAACAACAACAAAATTGTAACGTGTTCGGTGCCCGTGATCCTGGTGGCTTTTTATTTAAATAACCCTCAATATACGGTGCCATCTTAACATACCGTGAAAGGGTCCAAATCTGAGGTTTGGCGGTGTTGAAGCAAGGTTAAGAGTCCGAATGAAAACAAATGAGGTTAGGCGGTGTTGAAGCAAGGTTAAGAGTCCGAATGAAAACCAGTGGTGCTGGGTGCCAAATGCTGTTCAATGAGCACTGTCCGCGAATGGGTCACATGGCAGTTCAAAACGGAATATATATGGGAGACTGTTGGTGCGGAGTACTTTGGAACTTCAAGTTTGAGTTCACGTATGAGACAACAAAGGCAGACAAATTTGTCCCTGACACTCGTCACATGGCAGTTCAAAACGGAATACATTGGAGACTGTTGGTGCTGAGTACTTTGGAACTTCAGGTTTGAGTTCACGTGTGAGACAACAAAGGCAGACAAATTTGTCCCTGACACAGTCAGTGAAGAGACGTGTGTGTGACGTCACGACGCTCGCTCTCAGTGAGGCCCGAGCACGAACGCAGAACAAGACGCGCCTGTGGCACTGAGTTGCGGCCCCAGCAGCTCCACGGGTACTTTCTTTTTCAGCTGCGAACGAGATGTTAGACAAGGCTAAGCGGTACTAGGCTAGGCTAGGCGGCTCCCATCAGGCAATAACGGCGAAATATATCGAGACGCGATCTGATCTGGGCCACGCCTGCGCAGAAGGTCGGCCATCTTGGCTCGCGAACTACGGCAAGTACATGATGTCAAAATAGACATTTTATGCCTCCGCGGTATTTTAACAAGGTGGGTTCCGTCGGGCAGGACATCGTGTTGTTTCGCGTCACTTGGTGTGGAATGCATCTTTCCAAGAAATGTTCTGCCTTCCGCGTGGTGTTGAGCGCTCTGCTGCTGGTGGCGCTGCTGCAGCTCCTCTACTTGTCCTTCCTGACCAAGTTCCAGAGCAAACAGCAGCAGCAGCAACAGCATCAGCGTTACCGCTACCCGGAGCCCTTAGGAGGCTCCGGCCCCGGGAGCGCGGCGCACTCCGAGAAGAATTCGCGCAAGGAGCGCCTAAGATATTCCCTTTCGAGCGGAGGGATCTTTGACCAGAGCGGACAGTACCGCGTGTACAAGAACTTGATTCAAAAAGATTTCGCGAGCAAGCCGGGCACAAACGTCCTCACGCTGGTCACCCACACGAGCATGAACAACCTTCACCACCTGCAGGATCTTGTGGAGAGGTGGCGGAACCCGCTTTCGGTGGCGATCTTTGCGCACGGCCAGGACGTCAAGTTGGCCACGGCGCTGGTGTACGCGCTTGGCGCCCTGTGCCCCCGCGTGCAGACCCTGGTGGACTTCCACCTGGTGTGTCTCTCGGGGGAGACGGCCAGCTTCCCCGAAGACGACCACCGGCACTTTGCCGGCCTGGACGACTGCGCCGCTGTCTTCTCCCGGCTGGAAGCCCACAAGGACAGATACAGGAACTACGCCATGGGCGCAGACGTCCCCTACCCGAATAACCTCCTCCGGAATGTGGCCCGAGGAGGCACCGAGTCCTCCTTCATCCTCGTCATCGACATCGACATGATGCCTGCCGCCGATCTGCACCAGCAGTTCGTGGCGATGGTCGGCAGGCGCCAGCTTGCCCCGGACCAGGTGTTCGTCCTGCCCGCCTTCGAGATCCGCCACACCAGGAAGATTCCGGCCAGCAAGGCCGAGCTCGTGCAGCTCTACCAGGTGGGCGAAGTGCGACCGTTCTACGAGGAGCTGTGCCCTCGTTGCCAAGCTCCCACCAACTACTCGCAGTGGGTCAACAGCCACCTCCGCGACACCTCCGGCGGCCTGCAAGTGGCCTACACGCTGACCTGGGTCGACCCGTGGGAGCCTTTCTACATCGGACCGCGCAATGTGCCCCTCTACGACGAGAACTTCAAACAGTACGGCTTCAATCGCATCAGCCAGGTTAGGAGCGCCGACGCCGAGCAGGTTGGGTGTTTAGGGGGAGGCCAATGATTCCATCCCATCTTGAAGTTGTAAAATTTGCTTGGTCGGTTTTTTTTTGGAGGACAACAGAAATTGGAGAATATCTACTGCCGAAATCATGCCTTTGCTCCTCGTGAGGAAAATCGGTTCAGAGGCTGGATAAGGGATGGATCGAAACAAATGATTGTCCAATCATGGATAAATGTGATAATCATTACTTGTTCATTAATGGTGGCATCTCTACTTGGTGGACTTTCTATTTATTTATATACTGTCTCGATAAGCTCGGTGGTGAAGAGGTGCCGTCCACCTGAAGACCAATCGTTTTAGGAAACGTTGAAGTGGTAAAGCCACGGACGGGTTGGTTGCGATATGATTTCGCGGTTCGTTTGCCTTTTATTTTAGCGCGAGACCTCTCTGTGCTAAGCGAGTCAATCGATGATTTGCCGAAACAGTGGTTTGGGAAATCGATTTGAAAACGATTCAATTGTGGATGTCGTCACTGTTTCCTCTTCTGAGCAGGCCTGCGAGCTCCACGTGGCCGGCTACGAGTTCTCCGTGCTGAGCTCGGCCTTCCTGGTCCACCGCGGCTTCAAGATCCAGGGCGAGTTCCACGCGAGGAAAGACGAGGAGAACCGCCGCAACCGGCTCCTGTTCCGCACCTTTAAAGAGGCTCTGAAGAACAAATATCCAACCTCGAGCAGACGATGCTAAAATCGATATATCTCGACATATGTGTCTATATCGATCCGTCGATCGATATAGACACGAGTCGTGTGGGGGTTGCGGGGTGGGGGGTGCGGGGGCATCTTTTTGGGCGTCCTGCACCGCGACGTCCTCTTCATTGAGCAAGAGGAACCGCTCAGGCAGTGATGTCCGTCAGTGGCCACTAGATGGCAGCAGACACTCGTGAGACCTGCCTGACTACTGCAAGTCAACACTGTACTGAGGCATTTTATAGTTGTGTTGTATTTCTATTTATGGTCAAATGGCACATCCCTCGCTCACCATCTCGTTGGCGGAGAATAATCCTGGACTTCTATCGATTTCAACTGTTGTGTTGTTGCACTTTTTGGAGCAGCTTGACTGCTTTCTTTGCGACAAGAATGACGTTCCCACCGCAAACGGCGTCAAGTCGCGTCTTTAGCCGTCCGTCCAGCTAGCTAGCGACACCAAGTTCAGAAACAATCCGTCCACACACAATGAGTACCATCGGTTCTGGGATTTTGTTCTGGCGATTTGGGGGTTAGGGTTACATTTATGCGGCGACAGAAACTTTGTCAACTTTGGTGCTAGTTTCTTAAGCCCCTCTGTGGCATTTTTCTTTGTGTGTTTGCACTAAATGAGTGTAGAAAACTCGGTATGACAGATATGCTTTCGTTAAATGCGCAACAGGAGGTTTGGTTTCATTTTCAGGGAGGCTAAATTCCTACTGGGAATGACAAACATCTTGAAGAAAGCACGTCGACTTTTTTTTTGGAAGACCTGTTGCTTGTTGTTAAAACTGCTTGTTGTCAAGTTCGACGCCACTTTAGCCAGCACTCGCAACGAATATTTCACTCACAACACAACTCGAGACAGATTAACCCATGATTTGTCTCTTGGAAAAACTCGTTAAATCGGCGAACCAGCAAGGAGCAGGTCACACGTCTTGTCAAAAAAAAAAAAGCATTTTATGTTCGCTGCGTGGACGTGGTTTACGTGCACTGGTAAATCTAACCTCTGCTTCATTTCACTTGGTTGGTAGGCTTTGTTTACCGTACAACGATGTACATTTTCTCTATTTATTTCTGTCGTGTTTTGATCATTTTAGTGCTAAAGAAGGGCAGTCCTCATGTTTCCAAAGATGATGGTTTCATGAAACATTTGCAACACTCCATCATTGTTGTAGTCTGATTGTGTTTACGCCACACTTGTTTGGTAGGAAGGACTTTGACAAGTTGTCATCGCAAACTCTTAAAACTGCAAGTCATAAAGTAAAGTGTTTGTTTTGACTCCAAATGATTTCCCGCTTTGCGCCAGTTTATGCCACACAGCTGCCACTAGGTGGCAGACTGAACAACAACTTGAGCAAGTGAACAGAACTGCACAATTCAATCAGTCAATGAAAATGAATGAATGACAAGGTGGATGAATGCAAATGAAGAATAAAACTGCGTTGGGAAAGAATAACAACAACAAACCCCTAATTATTAACTATGCACCCCCCCACCCCGCCAAAAAAAAGACTTGAAACTAACAATACAAGCACAGCAGTTTGCGTTTTGCACCGCAGAAAACACAAAACCTGACATTTGGAAGTTTTTCTTTTAATTCGACGGCGGCGACCGTCCCAAAAAGGTTCCTTGGGCCGCTTCTGTCACCTGGCAGGTTGAGGTGAGACGACGCAACGGCGAGCTAGCAGGAGCAAGTTTCGCAACGAGCCTCCGTCGACTTCGCCTTCAAGACGGCGAATAAACGACACTTCTTACAAGGGTCGTCCTCACCAAGGAACTGCGAGGAGTAAATATTGGAGTGAAGAACAGAGAAGCGCGAAATCTATCGAGTACACATACGACACAAAATAGAATAAGATACTGAACTTAATAATGCGGCTTTTAACCCGGTGCGTCTTATGTTTGATAGACCCATTCACTGATGCTGCTCCTGTTAATACGGTGTACCTCAGGGTCATTCGCAATTGTCTTGCAGAGGACAGCGTTGTGAGCAGCACCCATGCCACGTCATCATCCCAGAATGCATTGCACTTGGACATGCAAATGAAGATTCGATCAAATATATTGAACTGGAATTTCTTTTCAAAAATGTCATCTTCTTGTGATGATACCAACAACCAAATAAATCGTATGGAGCGAATGCCCTGAAAGTGGGGCTTCCTTTTAATACGGTTCATAAGAGTGAAGTGACTTGACACATTTGTGTGGGGCAAGTTGAGCGCGACGGCCCCTCCGCTCTCCCCATGGCCGCTGATGGTTAAAAGAGAGGTGGTGGCGATTAGCATTTAAATCTTGACGTCGGTCACATAGCCCACCCGCTTTTGCCATCTGCCCCCGGAGTGGACAACTTGTGATGTTCGCTGCTTTGACAAGCTTCCTGAGGCGCCGTGGCATTAATAGTGTCTTAGCGTCCCCCTCGTGAGCCTGGTGGCACGCGACGCCCACTTTCGGCGGGCCCCGCTTGTCGCCGAACACTCAAGCAATCAGGTGGGGTTTTTTTTTTTGGAAGGGGGGGGGTGGAAACTCGGGGTCCTCGAGTCGCCCCGGTTGCCCGTGGTGGTTAATAACGTGGCAGAAGGCGCAGAGAAGCTCAGAGGGGGTGGCCGCTGTGGACCGGAGCAGGTTTGCTGGCGCAAAGTGGGGTTTAACTCCACCGGCTTATCTGGGTCACAGAGCTTTACGCCAAAAGCAATTAGGGCCGCCCTCTCCTGTGCGGGGTTGGCAGGAGGGCCTCCTCCCCGCCCAGCCATCTCAGGCCAAGAGAGCAGCTCTGCCTGTGGCCGGCGGGGGAGAAGCAGCAGGACGGCGCTATGAGCTGAGAGGAGGAGGAGGAGCCCCCCCACCTCCAAGATGGCGGTCCTCTTTGTGGGTGGAGGAGCCCAGAAACGGACTCGAGTCGGAGCACTCTGACTTGACAAATAGGACCCCTTCTAGTGTCCAAATGTTCACGGCCGCACCTTGTGCTTCGAGAAGAAATAAAAGGAAAAAGAAAGCAACATTCATTCCTGGCTCGTGGATGCGCTCGCCGTCACGGTCCGCGGCGAGCGCGGGGCGGTGTGGAGGTCCCAAGCGCAGCGAGGCAATGCCGGGGAGCAGGATACCTCTCCAAACCGAGAATGCCGAATCATCATCCGTCCATTATCCGAACCGCTTTTTCCTCACGGGGGTTGCGGGCTCGCCGGAGCCGATGCCAGCCTGTCTTCGGGCCGTCGGCGAGGCGGGGGACACCCAGAAGCCGTCGCCAGCCCATCCCAGGCCGCACACACAGATGAACGACCGTTGGCGCTCACAATCACACCTCGGGACAATGATGAGCGTTCCATTAACATGCCATGCATGTTTTTGGAATGCGGGAGGAAACCGGAGCACCCGCAGAAAAGCCACGCAGCCACGGGCAGAACATGCAAATTCCACACAGGGAGGCCGGAGCCAGAATGGAACCCTGCGCCTCTGCACTGTGAGGCCCGACGCGCTAACTCGTCGCCCACCGCGCCGCTCGAGCCGAGTCATCAAAGACACCAAATGAGCAAACTCCAAAAACAGCCGACGACAGAACGAGGACCACCTGGACAAGACACGAGTGGCCCCCGGGGAGCCGACGGCAAGACACAAAGGATCATTTGGATGGAATGTTGCCAAATGCGTTTGGCCCCTTCCAAAGGTTTGTTGAACTCCCCCAAATCAGAAGTCTCAAGGACGAGAGGTAAGGAGATGAGACCGAATGGGTCCTTCTGGTTTGTTTTTTTGTTTTTTTTTTGCAGGCACAGTCCCCACTGCAGCGCAGTAATAACGAGATGTGACACGAGGCTGGGCCAGAGAAAAGGAGGCCTAACAGATAGACTTAATCCTTCTCACCACACTAACACTTCTTAGCTTTGCACCCCTGCTGTCTTACCCGCTCAGCAACACCACCGAGGCGCGCGCACACGCACACACACACACACACACACACACACACACACACACACAAACACACACACACAAACACACAAAAAACGCACACACACACAGGTGAGTGCGCTTCCAGTCAAAGTCGCCATGCTTCACACTGTGCTGCTGACCAACATGGGAACCACAGCACACACACACACACACACACACACACAC